CAGCTTTTCCCTGCCCCACAACACGGCTCCCCTGCTGGGAAGGGGCTTGCGCTCATGGAAACCATGACAGGGGCAATGTCTGTCCCTAGCTTAGGTATCCTACCTGAAGATTACATGAGCCCTCCTCAAGCCCTTCAGAAAACCTCAGGGGATGGTAGTAATCATTCTTGTCTTCTCCCCTGTTTGCTTAGTTCTGTAAGGAAGAATTATTCTTTATCCAGCCAATTCTAAATAGTATTGCTGGGTGACATTTTCCAAACACACTTTCTTCATGTGTACTTGAAAAATGCAGTCTTCAGTTTCTTAATGCTCAATTGCTTCTATTAGACATTTGATGCAACTCATTGCAGTTAGTGGCATGCAACATTTCTGTTATGCACTTATATTTAGGAAGTATCTCAATGGATTGTCTTAGGCTTTCCAGAAATAATAAGCTGCCTGTAATTGAAAGGATTTGTAAATTAGAATAGCGTGAGAATGAGTTAGTGGGGCTCTGTAATATTCCCTTGTGTTAGGCTTTTGAAGCACAGCACACGTGATTTTCAGAGTTAATTTAAAATATTTATATTTTTAATGTTGCTATTAATCCCCTGCCAGGTTGCTTTCCTACTTGTAATTTACATCGAAGAAACGTGGTGAAATGTAGTGTATAAATTCAGGTTGGAATTAGGAAGATCTTGTTGTGAGCCAAAATTATATCTTGGGATGCAAATGTGGAATCCCAGTGATTATGTCATGTCACATCCCTGCCAGACCAGGAACAATAGTCAGTCGTTAAATCTTAAGTCTTTATTCAGGTGGAAACGCTGTGGCACAGTGGGTTATCTGAAACCTAGGAGAACCAGTTTGCTCCAAATATCTCTCCCTGGGGTTGGTAGTTGGAGCAATGGAAAATTAACAAAAGAACGACAAAGAAACCGGGGTGTTGCTAGGAGACTCACAAAGGTGCACATGGCATGTTGGAAAGCAGAGGGGAGCAGGGAGACAAGCTCTTCTAGTGGGTCTTGTAGAGGTGGCTTAATGGGCAGATCCACTAGGACAGAGAAAGTAAATGGAGCTAGAAGGACTGTATTGTTCAGAAGGCCATCCCCTGGCTGTAGGACCCAAGGGCCCTGACCAGGGGCAGAATCAAGGGGTGCAGCAACTGAATTGCACCCTTTTTTGGCTGTGCCACACATCATCTCTCAGTGTGGGGTCTAGCCAGAGCCCCTAGTTTCATGCGGCTCCAGAGCCTGGGAGGTGAGCGCTGCTACCACTGCTTGTCCCCTCCTTTGCCCTATTGCTAAATTCAGCGGGGAAGGAGAGGGAGAACAGCAGCATTCATCTGCTGGGCTCTAGATCCATAGGACCGCAGGGGCTCTGGCAGACCCCACCTCGATTAGCTGGCAAGCTCAGAGCCAATTCTGCACACTGAGCTCCAGCCGGAGCCTCAGCTGACCAAAGCTCACTGCATGTGCAGCACAGACAGAGGGGCCTGACCACACTTTCCTCACCTCTGTATCTACTAGTAACCCAAAGAATGCTCCTGAATCATGAGGAAACGGCAGGGAATTACATATATGGCTCATTACTTTTATCTAAATGTTGTTTGCCCCTGGATACCAAGTAATGAGCAAATCTGTTATACAGAATTGTGCAATGGGTTATGTCTGTCCCTCTGAATAAGTGAACCATGAGCCAGAAACCTCTCATTCTTCTGTGCAAGTTGGACCTCACATGAAACTGGGGGCTCTGGCTAGACCCCACACTGAGAGCCCATGTGTGGCACAGCCAAAGAAGGGTGCAATCCAGCTCAAACTCTGGAACACGTGGGAGGGCTGTGAAGGCAGCTCAAGGAAAGCAGCACTGCTTCAGGTTCTAGGCAATTGGAGCAGGGAGACACACAGTGCCAGAAGAGGTGCTGGGCTCGAGGTGGATATGTGGTTTGTACAAGAGATGCACAACACCAAGAACTGTGCCAAACTCATTCTAGCTGGTACAAACTGAGAGCACATTGACTTAATTCTTTTGGATCCTCTCACTTAATCCGGGCACTCCATGTGTGATGCACAGAGTGTATGCTCCGCAGATATGTTTTCAGAACCTTATCTTTGAGTTCCATAAGTGTTTAAAATGGCTGCAGAACAGGTGGCAGCGTTCGTATTATTAAGTGCTGACAGTGTATTCAGTGCTGTCAAAACAGAAATATTCCCTTCCCCAAGGAGCTTCCCCTAAATAAACAGGTAATACAGAACAGACACAAAACTGTGCAGCCGCGGATGGCAGTAATTTATGGCAGAAAGTGAAGAATTTATTTATCATGTAAGAGAGAGCTACCAAAGAAAACCAGGTCACGATGGAATTGTTAGCAACACTGCAAATCCTCTGAGTTAATGGTTTAACCTTGTCTATTTGATCTAACTAGGTTTAGTTAAATTGTCAAGTGCGCTTCTATTATTTTTGTTTTCTACATGGCACTTGATGAATGTGTTTTCATGTCCAGAGGTTCCTATTTTCCAGAAGTTAATTTTCTGGGTATTAAACATCTTTTGAGATTAAATTTAGCATGAAAATTTGCTATCTGCAAGGAAATAGGAAGCTACATGATGTATAATACCAGTTCAGATTTGTCTAGCCTAGTTCATTAGTGCTCAACCTTTTGGCCCTGCAGGCCAGATGAGAGATGTGGGGCAGGTCTGCAAGCCAAATCGGGCCCCACACATCAGGATCAGCCCCAGGGCCCCATGCTACCCCTGTAGGCTAGGATCAGGGCCCCATGTGGGCCCCGCAACACCACCACCCAGCGTACAGGGATCAGGCCCTGGGACCCTGCTTCGCCACCGTCCGGCCTTGCATGCTGGAGTTGGGCCCCATGTTGTCCCCACCCACCAGTATTGGGGATGGGGCCCCCACACCTGGATCGGGCCCTGCATGTAGGGCCATGCTGTAAGGCCCATGGGGCTCTCCAGGCATCCAGAAATTTGGCTGCAGGGAAGCAGAGCCACCTTGGGCCAGACTGCATGTGGTGGGGGGGTTGAGCATCCTTGGCCTGGTTTGTTTATTTTCAACCAGAGTGCCACAAGATCTTTTTAAGGGTCCCGTGCAATATTAGCATTATTAAGTATGTAAATGCCTACATGTACTTCACAAGACAAACAGAGGTTGCAGATAGGAATCCATAGCGTCACAAACATCCTGACCTGTTGTGGTCTTTCTGAATCCTTTGCAACATTGCTGCTCTATTATGTTTCCATAGTCAAAAAAAAATGAATAAAACTAAGAGGTTGCATTTTCCAAGCAGTGCCTTGAGCAGAAGCTTAAGAGGGCAGCACTGCACGCTGGATAATCACACAGCCACAGCAGCAGCTGTTGTTTTTGCACCCCCTTGTTCTCCCAAATGAGCGCCCAGGGCTGCAGCCCCTGCTGACCTCCTTAGTTATGCTACCAGCCTTGAGTCTAAAAAGCCTGGGAACCACCAGTCTAGTTGTTGAGAATTTCTCCAATTCTGCTTTTTTCCACAGTCGCTTCTTATAACAAACAAGATTGCTTCAATACTTAATTTTTACTAAATACTTAAAGAAGAATTTCTTGCAAAGACATTGCAGGTTTTGAGGGGAAATATTGTTTTTAATCCAGATACCTCATTTTCACTTTTATTGCACACGAACTAAATATTTTCATATTTGGTGAGGGAGGGTTCTCTTTAGAACCAGTCAGCTCGAAATGTTATTCTACTGATGCCAGGCATGTGTACGCCTGTATACATCAGGGCTGATTATACAGATTTCTGTATTGGCTGTAACTTTACTTTAATTGTTTTTGCATGTAACCTGAAGTAAGCTGTTGAAAGGAACTGTCACCACTTTAATTCTTTTCATATCCGTTTATTTTTCCTTGCAATACTGTTTCTTTATGGAAAGTACTTCAGTTTACTAAATGGAAGCTGTCATGTTCTGACTGCATAATCCCAATAGCTATGAAGCTTAGTCCTTTTTTTTTGTAACTAAACAGAAGCTGAGCCCATGGCATGTGTGAAACCATTCAGCAGTGTTGGTTGGCAATTTCTGGCAGCTATTGTAGGTCAGACTGCTTTACCCAGCTCATTGTACACTCGCCTTCAATTAACCAAAGTAAGAGAATCCTGCATTTAATTCAGTTTTCTCAGTTGTGAAGGCCAGGAAAGAAACTGAATTTTAAATAAACCTTGTACAATCTTCCATTTTTTATTAAAAACTTAAGTATTTTCCAGTTGGATTTCCTCCTGCAGAAGACCTCTCTTTATCAGAATAGCCATGCTGTAAAATTGGCAATAAAAGTAGGTTTTCCCCTTCAGTTTACATTAGTTTGTCAACTTGTTACTGCAGGACCCTTGCTGACTAGTTTGTGTCTTCAACTGATGTTTGCTGCCATCTGTCGTTTTGAATCAGAAAGATCATGCAGTTTGCCAATGTAAAAGTACTCAGACCAAAACTAGTCGGTTGAAGAGAGGGGGAGGAGAATAATAAAGTAGCACAGCTCTTTAGTGATGTAACTGTTGTAAAACCTGTACCTACTAGTCGACCAGAGAGCCCCACCAGTTCCATTTGAACAGTAACCAAACCACCAAATTACTTTTTCCCAAAACATAACAGAAAGGGGCTGTTGTTCCATCAGTTTCATGAAAAACCATCTGTTTAATTTAGAGTGGACTTCCATCATTCTAACTCCAACACGTAACAGAAAAATCATTGTTGGATATGTTTTACAGGACGTTCCATTTCTCTTTTTTCCAGAGGAGAGTGAGCAAGCAGTCAAAGCCTTAGCAACATTCAGCATGAAGCTAATGTGATAATTTTTAATAAAGCTTTGTTGGGTGATAGACGGTTACCTCATTCTTTTCAAAACTATCCTCTGGTTGTATTTTGTAGCCTAGTAATTTTTTTTAAGAAAAATTGTGTTCGCTTATATCAGATCATCATGATGAATTTTTGATTGTCTTCCAAAGAAAAAATAACAAGGATTGTATGTTTTCTATTCCACAGTTATTTGTCGGCCTTGGATTCCCATATGAAGGGCCTGCTCCTCTAGAGGCTATTGCTAATGGATGTGCTTTTCTGAATCTAAAATTTAACCCACCCAAAAGCAGCAAAAACACAGAATTTTTCAAAGGCAAGCCAACACTTCGAGAGGTAAGCATGTGAACACCAAGTGTTCTGACGTGGCAAAGGATTGGGGTTTAAACATGTCTATTGCGGAGAGTTTTGTTCTGTAGCTGTTCTCCGAGGATCATAAAGACATTTATTTTTAGTACAAATTGATTTTTTTTTATCCTATATTTAAAAAGTCAAACTAAGAGGCATAGTTTACTGTTTGCCTAACATGAAAGTAGTCAGAATACATACAGGCTTTTTTTCTGAGTACAAGACTGTGCTTGTGTTGTACAAGTAAATTATTACTAATACATAGCTACACATCTACATATAGGTGCATTCTGTTGTTTTCCTTTTGTCAGAGCATATGTTGAAATTTCGCTTCAAGATCTGACATTCTGCCTAACAGCACAGGGTATTGTTTTTCCGTATCACTATACATTTTATTCCCTTGAAATAATGAGCAATAATATGCAATAAGTATACTGCCATTCATATAAGTTAAATGAAAGTTATACTGTATTTGCAGATAAGTTCTGCTAAAAGTTGTCCTTAACTCTCCTGTTGGTAATAACAACAAACTGTGTGTTTATTTGAAGATAAATGTGTGCAGAGTCCCAAACCAGATTTGGAAGAGAACAGGAAGGGGAAAACCGCAAGTTTCCAAACCAGCCAGGATATTTTGGAAAGTAGAAAGTTAAACAAACTGGCTGCTATGAAAGAATATACTGAAAAATAGTGTTCATCCTTGCTAGGAGTTTAAAAGTAGCACATTTATATAAGAATAAAGTTAGGCCTATAGCACACCGTATTTCCCCCTAAGTTTGACGTTAATTAACGTTCTTGCTTGTGATCCTGAATTGCTGCTGAAAAAGTGCTTTATAGTACTAATCAACTGCAGATTATTTTTTTATGTAAAAAATAATTCCTATGCAAACATGTAAATAAGCACAACTTTGTATTGCAGTGTTGGTCTGCTTGAAGGATGGGATAGCTTATGTATTGCATGGTGGCAACTAGTTATTTAGCAAGGCACCTGTATTCATTTTAATAAAAGAACATAGGTTGCTGTGTTTAAAGGGTTGGTAAATGAGGTTTTGTGCACCTTTTATCAGCCTGCTCTGTGAATAAAGTTTGTACCGTCCAAACTCAGTCATCACCTTCTTACAGTTTGACTTTTTTACTCTTTTCTTTGTGAATAATTAAAAGAACAATAAGAACTTAAGAGTCAGCCTAAACTTTCTTCCTAGGTTTGGTTTTTTGGCTTTGCTCAAGACTGTTCTGAACCTGTTTTGATTTGCTATCTCTCTTCCAGCTGCTCTTTTATTCAAGTACTGCAACCAGTAAACCATCAGAAGGCACTTAACCCTTCCCTGACAGAATTACAACTTTTTGAAACAATGAGTACTTTTAGTGAAACACTGCCATTCTCAGCCTTTATATAATGTTAGGATGAGTGGTATCATTTTGATGTGTCTTTGAGTTTTTTTAAACCCAAATAGTAAAAATATTTATTTATTTATTTATTTATTTTATTTTATCCTGGAACAAACTGTGTTCTGAAATTCTCTCAGGTGTAAAATTGCAGGTTTTTAACAAGCTGCTGTTGTAGACAACAGAAGTGTCCCATGGATGACTAAAATCTTAAGCTTTGGCCAGTGACCGTATCTCAGGATCGGGCTGGCAATCTTAAAATGTTAACAGAGCACTGTAACATCCTCTAGTTTGAGAAATGTCATTTTTCAGTTCTTCAACACTAGACTGGCTTAATGGTGCTGCTGCCTCTTGGGCAGATGCAGAAGACTAGTGATCTCCAGCATAACTCGAATTCACAATCCAGTGAAGGGTGGGAAAAATACCAGTGAGGCTAAAGTGTTAGACTTCAGAAGGGTCAATTTTAGTAAACTTAGAAGGCTAGTTAGTGAGGTGGCTGAACTCAAGAGCATCGAGCGTATGGGGGTCCAGGGGGGCTGGCGGTTTCTCAAGGGAGCGATCCTTTGCGCACAAAAGGAGAATATTCCATTACTCAGGAAAGAGGGCAAAGGGACAAAAAAGCCCTCTTGGCTGAACAGGCAACTCCAGAAAACACTGGGGGCAAAGAAAGAGATTTATAGGCAGTGGAAGCAGGGGGCAGCCACCAAGGAGGAATATACCTCTCTGGCATGCTATTGCAGGGAATCAGTTAGGCAGGCCAAGGCAGGACTGAAGCTTAGGCTGGCTACAACAATGAAGGACAATAAAAAGTCCTTCTACATATATATAGCAAGCAAAAGGAAGGCGCAGAGTAGCATAGGGCCCCTGCAGGACAAATCGGGACAGTTGGTAGCCGACACAGGGGAAAAAAGTAGAGCTCTTCAACGAGTTCTTTGCTTCAGTATTCCTAAGTACTGGCCAAGACAATTCCCCCAATTTGAACACAGATAGATGTCCGGGAGGCACTAGACCGCCAGTGGTTAGTGCTGACTTAGTTAAGGAGCACTTGGAGGGGCTGGATAAGTACAAGTCAGCAGGCGTGGATGACCTCCATCCACGGGTGCTGTAGGAATTGGCCAGTGTCATAGCAGAGCTACTGGCACGGCTGTTTGAGCACTCATGGTGCCCCGGCCAGGTCCCTGAGGACTGGAAAAGGGCCAATGTCATGTCCGTTTTTAAGAAGGGGAGAAGGGATGAGCCGGGTAACTTTAGGCCAGTCAGTCTTACCTCTATCCTTGGGGAAAAAACTGGAAAAAATCATTAAAGACTGCATTTGTGAAGGCCCAGCAAGGGAATTGATGCTGAAAGGAAACCAGCATAGGTTCATCACAGGTAGATCCTGCCTGACAAACCTTATAGCCTTTTACAACCAGGTAACACACTGCCTTGACACAGGAGCTGAGGCAGATGTCATCTACCTGGACTTTAAGAAGGCCTTTGATACAATTTCGCCTCCTAGTCTAATAAGGAAGTTAGCAAGCTGTGGGGTGGACGCTTACACAGTCAGGTGGGTGGCAAACTGGCTTAGAGACTGCACTCAGAGAGTGGTGCTGGATGGGTCGTTTTCAACCTGGAAGGAGGTGGGCAGTGGTATCCCGCAGGGTTCGGTCCTTGGACTGGTATTATTTAATATCTTCATCGGTGATTTGGACTAGGTTGTGGAGAGCACCCTGTCCAAGTTTGCAGATGACACCAAGTTATGAGGCAAAGTTAACACACCGGAGGGCAGGGAGTGGATACAGGCCGATCTGGACAGGTTGGAGCAATGGGCAGAATGAAACGGTGCAATTCAACAAAGACAAATGCGAGGTACTCCACCTAGAGAGGAGGAATCCCCTGCACACCTATAGGTTGGGGGATGACCTCCTCAGCAGCTCAGCGGCTGAGAGGGATCTTGGAGTCGTAGTTGACTCCAAGATGAACATGAGCTGGCAGTGTAACGAAGCCATCAACAAAGCCAATCGCACCTTATCGTACATTAGTGGATGCATGACCACCAGATCAAGGGAGGTGATGCTCCCCTCGATGCAGCACTGGCCAGGCCGCAGGTGGAGTACTGTGTCCAGTTCTGGGTGCCGCACTTCAAAAGGGATGCGGAGAATCTGGAGAGGGTCCAGAGGAGGGCCAATCGTATGATTAGTGGCCTCTGTGCAAGACCCTACAAGGGGAGGTTGAGTGATCTGGATCTCTTCAGCCTTCACAAGATGGCTGAGGGGAGACCTTGTAGCAGCCTATAAGTTTATCAAAGGAGGACAACAGAGAATTGGAGATGCGCTATTTGTCAGGGCACCCCTTGGAGTAACTAGGAATAATGGGTACAAACTAATGGAGAGTAGATTCAGGTTAGACATTAGGAAGAAATTTTTCACAGTAAGGGTGGCGAGAATCTGAAACGGGCTGCCAGGAGAGGTGGTACTATCACCTAACTTAGAGGTCTTCAAGACGAGGCTAGATAGGCACCTGGCTGGGGTCATCTAACCTCAGTCCTATTCCTGCCTGGGACAGGGTGTCGGACATGATGATCTTTTGGGGTCCCTTCTGACTCTACCGTCTATGAATCTATGAACTCCCAAAGCTTTCTGAAGTTCAGTAATTTTCCTTGCCTACGCTCTCAGAAGATTTGGGAATAAAGTGCATGTACTTATTTCTTAAGTGCTTTCACTGTGCTCAGTGCCCTATAGTGGATTTATAAAAGAGTGCATACTGCTTCATTAAGTAAGACACCCGTGCTCTAGAAAAAGAGAATCTTGATACTCCGATTGTTTTTTTAAATAGTGTAATTGTTAAGGATAAAGTTAATGTCATAAAACTGAGTTCAGTGTGAATATGTAAGTGTTATGGGGGGATTGGGTTTACAGGAGAAAATCAGAAGATGGTGCACTAGGATATAGCCAGTCAGAGAAAGCATGTCTCCCTCAAATCTTCCAAGTAAATGATAACAAAGCGTCAGTTCTCCAATGGGTTTTGCATGGATTCCTCTTGGCCCTGTGCAGGCAGAGGTGTCAGCCTACATAGAGCTCATCAGATGATTGACCTTGGCGTGTGGGTTCAGCTGCCCATGATTACCACATTCCTGTGTCTAGAAATAGGGAGCGCCAGGTAAATATTTTTGTGGGAAATGGTCTGCTTGTATTTCCTGGCCTTTTTTTTTTGGTTCCAGCCAGGAAAAAACAGGTATAATGGGTACTAGATTCAAGAGGAAAGGTTTCTAAGTAAATGCAGATTGGTTGCTTTACTCAGTAAAAAAAGCAAAAGAGTGAAATCCCAGTGCATGAAGCAGTACGAGCGTAAATACATGCTCGCAGTTTTGTATGCTTGTTGTTTTTCCCACTTCCTTTCAGTGCTGTTGTGCCAACTGTAGCCTGGTCAAATGCATTCACCTTTATTCCTCCTGGGTTGGTTTAACTGATGATTTTTTTCACCTATTGTAAATATTTTCTAGCAAAGCAATGAACAAAATGTCACTTAACTTTTAAAGGCATGCTGGAGGTGACATCTAGTATCTTGCTGTCAGGAGAGCATCACAGTTCGTCCTGGGTGATAGAAGTAATGTATTATTGTGCTATACTCATAGGAATTTAGAAGCTTTGGGCATAGATGTTTGGATACGGGGAACTACTGGTAGGATGTAGAACATTCTTCTTCTATCCTAGACTAAAAAGTTAGAATTGAGGGCTATTGGATTTGTGCAAAAAAATGTCTGATAGCTTAATTCCTAAACTATGCAGGTCCAAAAACATCAATGCAGTGAGGACGAATTTTCTTTGTTATCAATCTGAGCATAGAGAATCAGAATCAAACATGGAAAAAGTCATAATCATAATTTTTGTGAGAAAATGTTGGACAAGAGGGTTTGGATGGAAAGATAATGACCTTTCAGCCTGGGTGAATAGGATGACCTAGTAGAGATATCTGATGCAGAGATAACATGAAGGGCTGTGGGTAGTAAGGAAGATGTTAGCTGTTCTCAAGCAAGTGGATGATATCAGGTAGAGAGAAGGGTATAGAGAAAAAGCAGAAGTACATGAAGCTTCCCTACTCTCTCTCTCTACTTCTGTTGCCTGTGCTGACCTATTGTCTGGGCAACTTAGAGGACTTCGGTCTCCACAATTATCAGCCCAGAACATTTAACAAGTCCTGGTTTCACCCAAAACTGTTAAAAAGAGATGTACAGAAAATCTGAAATATGGATATTTTTCATTTGACTTATTCTGATATTGACTTTTTTCTTTTTCAGTTGACCTCTCAGCATCCCTATGCTGAAGTTTACATTGGGAAACCACATGTTTGGACTGTGGACATCAGTGATCTGTTTGAGGTGGAGAAGGCAGTTAAAGCAATTCTGAATCAAAAGGTTAAAATACATTCTCTCAGTTAATAATGAGCACATGAAGGTGATTAGGTATTGCAGATCAAAGAGCCTCCTGAAGTTAGCTTAACTAAAACATAGTGTTGCATTCTGGAAGGCTCTTGGGATTTTTATGTCCTGCCCATGACTTTGGGATCGGAGGAGCAAGCTAGATTCTGCAGTCGTTTTCACGTGTATATTGTTATTCACATAAGTAAAAGTCATGCCCATGTGTAGGCTAGAGGTCTTGGTGTGCAATTCTCAGAGGTCGTGTCTGCACGAGATGCTACTGCACAGTAGCAACAAGCTACTCTCTGGCTGCTACTCTCGGGCCGCATCTACACATGCGGCAAACTGCTCACTTGTTACTGTGCAGTCACTTAGTACTTGCATAACCAAGTACTAAATGACTGCACAGTAACTAGCATTACTGCACAGTAGTGTCCCCACATGGTTTTTTCTGACGCTACTGTGCAGTTACGACAAACTACTGCTCAGTATCTTGTTATTACTATGCAGTAGCATCGCATTATGCAAGTACTAAATGACTGTGCATTAACAACTGTGCAGTCTGCCGCTCGTATAGATGCAGCCAGAGAGTTCAAGTGAGAGGAATTCAGTCCTTGCAAGTGTTCAAGCATTTTTAAGCAAGTTGCCCTGTTGATAAGGGAGATTCACAGGTTGTCCAGAGATGCATCTTAATTTACTCATTAAGTAGCTATGGCAACAAGGCTGTGAAGATACTTGTCCATTTACAATATGGGCTTTTAATGAAAAGATTATAAAAACAGTATTCAGAATCTAATCTGAAAGTGTTTTCAAATAACCATTCAGTCATTAGCCATTAGTTTTTTCTTTGTGCTTCTTAAATTGGGAAATTAAACAAGATTACAACACTTCTGAGATACAGTAAGATCTAAGCCTAAATTCATCTCTGTCACTTTTCTATAAACTCTTAATTTCTCTCATTTAATAACTCCTTAAAGATCATCACTAAGTGATTTTAGAATTCCCCCCTGAGGGAGTAAAAATCCGTTTCAACTGACAAATGCACGAGGCGATGCTTTGTTAGTGACTCCATTTGCATTTAGGGGCTTACAACTAGAAGGGAATTCCCAGCTCATCAAGTCCAGTCTCCTGATGTTACCCACATTGTGTCAAGCTCCATCTCGAAAAGAGTTGGGGGTTTTGCCTCTGTTTCTTCCATACGAAGGCTGTTCCAGAGACTTATTGCTCTGTTGTATTTTCTCACAAACAGCACACATCTTATTTTCCCCAATATCAGACCCCCAAGACTGGCAAACCATAGGCTGCGAAAGCAAGGAAGCTTATTTTCTGACCAGCATAGAAGCATCCTTTTTTGATTCCTGTCTGACCAGCATAGAAGCATCCTTTTTTGTTTCCTGCTGCCATCTCTATACTTGTTTCAGTTTGAATTCAGCTTCTTTTTTCATGGCTGAGCAGAACTATACACAGTATTGCTGAGGAGATCTCACCAGGGCCTCGCACAGTGTCACTAATACTTACCAGTTTCAACAGAAACACCTTCTGGATGCATTGGTGGGGATCTCATTTGCCTTTTTCACAGTGCATCTCATTGGCAACACATGGTCATTCTGTGATCAGCAGGGATCCTGGCTTTCTGTGTTTAAAAGTGGCAAATTCTCTGATTTTAAGGGAAACAAATCCCAAATTCTCTGATTTAAAATACCCTAAATTCATTCTTTTCTGCTATTAAAATGAAACGCCACTACTTACATAGATATCAGTTGAACACAATGTTTTATTGAGATATTTACAATTTTAAAGCAATTTGGAAGCCTACCAGTGCCTTGAATTTGTTTTTTGTGACCTCGAAAATCAGAGCTCCCCCGTCCCCCTTAGCTCAACTGGATGCAGGTCCATCTGCAACTGTCTGTCGTCCCCACCCGCTGAACAACCCTGATATGCCGCTGCTCTGCTCCTGCCCATGCCACTGCCCGTCACTCCCAAGCCCCACCAGCCCTGCTGGTACCCTCACTCCCAACCCACAGTCACCCACCCTGCCCCTCACTCCCCACTCACAGCCCCATGGCCCTGCCAGTGCCCCTTCAGTCCCAGCCCCAGGCCCCAGCCTCCCCATGCCCCTCCTGCCCACGCCAC